TACTCCCGCTCCTTGTCCTCGCTGCCCCCGGAGCCCTTCATGATAATGCGCTCCAAGGCGCTCAACCGGCGTGTTTGCATCAACGTCGGCGGCGTCAAGCACGAGGTCCTCTGGCGCACTCTGGACCGTCTGCCGCACACGCGTCTCGGCCGCCTCCGCGACTGCAACACCCACGAGGCCCTCAGCGAGCTCTGCGACGACTACTCGCTCATCGACAACGAGTACTTCTTCGACCGCCACCCCAAGTCTTTCAGCTCCATCCTCAACTTCTACCGCACGGGAAAATTGCATCTGGTGGACGAGATGTGCGTGCTTGCGTTCAGTGACGATCTCGAGTATTGGGGCGTCGACGAACTCTACCTCGAGTCGTGTTGTCAGCACAAGTACCATCAGCGGAAGGAGCATGTGCACGAAGAAATGCGCAAGGAAGCGGAGTCGCTGAGGCAGCGCGACGAAGAGGAATTCGGGGAGGACAAGTGCTCGCAGTATCAAAAGTGGCTGTGGGACATGCTCGAGAAGCCTACCACCTCGATTGCGGCCAGGGTGAGGATCGAAGGAAATCGCGATTTGCATCTAAAAATCTTTTTTCATTTCAAAATTTCCCATATTCCTACTTGGGTAGATAATATACGAAAAATATTTTCTTTCATTTCTGATTACTGGTTTTCATATTTATTGTTTAAATTATAAAGGTCAAAAACACCAAAATTCCTCAACTTCTTCTCTCTGTGAACAAATGTTGGGTTGTTTAACTTTTGTAGACTTGTACTATATACACAACTGAAAACAACTGCAATTTGTGTTAAAAAAGTGCTAAATTCAATGTGTAAATTCATCCTTTGTAGAATTTTTTACATAAACTTCGCCACAAATGAATTACTAAAAATAATTTTTATAACACAATAAATTAATAATTGTCACTCAGAACAGTGAATGGCTTTGTCAACAAACGCATCCATCAACATTTAAAAAAACATCTGATTGTCTGTTAGCCAAAATTATTTTTAAAAGCAAATGAAAAAAAAATGCGATGTGATGAGAAGTTGTTCTCATTGCATAATTTTTTTCAAAGTAGGTATAAGATTATTAAGATTGTTTGGCTTTTAATGGCCTTGCATTTGCTTGGCTTATTTTAATTGTATCAGTGTTGCTATGCCTATTTTTATTTATTTATCAAATCTAAATTTTTGCTTATACAGGGTGCGCCAGAACACGCGCCCCAGAGAAAAATGCCATATAAGGTAAGATACCAGGAACATGGAAAAAATGTTAAAAAAATTTTATATATAAAAATTTCGAAGTTATGAGGGTTTAAAATTTGCACTTTGACTCTATTTATTTCTATTGGAAAAATAATTTTCCAAGTTTTTTTGCTATAGGCTATTAAAAGAGGAAACAAGGAAGCCGTATCCTAAATTGTAACTCTGTTCAATGTTATTTGTGGCTTTTATTGGCAAAATTAATAGATATAAAAAAAATGTCAAATGTCAAAAATTTTTGACAGATAAAATTTTTTTAACATTATTTTCATGTTCCTGGTATCTTACCTTACTTGAAAATTTTCTCTGGGGCTCGAGTTCTGGCGCACCTGTGTTTCAATTGTCAGTATTATAAATAAATTTAATATTAGGTATGATAAATCGGTTTCTCAAATATCAATTTTTCTATTGATTAAATTTTATACAAAATGTAGATTTTTTCAGGGGAACAAATTAAACGCAGTTATTTAATCAAACCGGTTACAAAACAGAACGAAAAACAAATTCACGGTAGGGTACTTAAACGTCAAATATTTTTGTTCAGTAAAAAACAGTAAATTTTTAGTAGAAGAACGGTTAAATAATAGATGCTCATTAACAAAATAAAAAGTAGAGTGCCCAGTAAAATAAAAAGTGAATAAATATACCAATAATAAATAATATTCTTGCGCAAGAGCCATACATAATTAGGGTTGTTCAGTGAGTGATTTTAAGTAAAAAATCGGCTATGTGGTTTCTTCGCTGGGTTGACTCAGAAAATGCTTTAAAGGAAAAAAAAATGATTCCACTTATTTTACAATAACAAGTCTTATTTTTAAGCACTACTACCTAGAATTAGATTATTGTACCTAGCATTTACGATGTTTTGCTTAGCATATGACTATTTATATACCTAGCGTTTGATACAAGTACTTATAACATTACCTAGCATTTATTTTAATACTTACCATTCCTAATATTTCTTTTAAGCATTTTAAGATTATTTCACCTTAATATTTACAATATTTTAATTAGAAAATCAGTATTATTAACACTTTATTATTATTTTTTTAGTTATTTGTTAACTTTTGAGTTATTTTCAGAGTTTTTATTCTACTGTGGAGCACTTATTGCTTATTGTTTGAGTCTTGAAAACAAAATACAGCCATATGTTGTGGAATAAGGACGATACTATTCATTTTCATCAGTGTTTGATTTCTTTAAAAAAAAAATGAGAACCTTTATAACAAAAAAGTATGAAGCATACAAAAATGCGAATTGGGTGTAAATATTTGCACCAAAATTGTAGATCATGTCGACTCTCTCAACGAAAACTTCTTTGAATAAACAATATTATTACCAAAAATTTAGACCCTTAGCAATTTTCAATAATATTAAACAGTTCCTTGATTTTTTATTAATAATAATCAAAGATTCAATGCAATTTTTCTCAAAACTGTAATTTTTAAGTTACCTACTATAGTTTTTGTTGGGAGAGTCGATGTGAAAGCACAAGTTGTATAAACGAAAATCGAAAAAGCTTAAGAAAATTAATTATTTAGATATAAATAAATATTGATTAGGTAATAAGACAGTAACTCTGGCTGAAACACATATTTTAACAGTGTAATCTACTACAATTTTTCGATCACCTATAAAATTAGAAAAAATAACAGATCTCTAGCTACTTTTGCTTCAAATTAAGAAAATTGACATAATAATTAAAATTTTGATTAAAATTTGCATGCGCATTAATTAAAGTAAACGTAACTCTATGAATTTATAAGCAGTAGTAGCTCATTATGAGCAATATTTTTGAATCTACTCCGTACAGAAGTTATTTTCTTATAATTAAATACCTGGTGTGGAAAAATAACGTGGTTTTTAAAATTGGTTTGGTTTTTAGTTCAAATCTCAAAGGCTTTTTTACTATAACTGTTTTGTGTAGATACAATAACACGTTTTACTCTACCCTGAAGGCTTGTAAAATTCAATTTTAACGTATCGCAATATTGATAAAATAATTCAGTTATTACAAGTTTGTTAAAAAAGTAAAGAAAAGCTAGAATTTCTCGCCTATTGTAACTTTACACAGGCTTCAAAATTTATTCGCTTCTATAAACTAAAGCACTTGATACTTTGGCACCTGTATAAACTGATTGTATTCCGTTCTTTCTACTGTATTTTTCACGAGTCGTTTGCTCGTTGCGACATCATGGAAAAAAAGTATAAAATATTGTCTTTTTTCGCATTGAGTTTTAAAACCGATTTCGCGACTAATTTAGTATCTAATTGTACAGCTACGTCGCTTTATATTTATTATGCATTGTGATTATATCATGTTTTATTAAATACGTGCGTGTTTATTTTGTAAACACCGCTAATTGCTTTGACTGATTTTACAGTCCGTAACAACATAACTTTAAGAGTTAATGAATCTTGTTAAATCGAGTTAAATGAAATTTCAAACTAGACGCAAACTATAAAAGCGGCACGTGCTGCGAGTAGTGTTACAATAAATTTCGGTACGGATGCTGTGCGACGCCGAATCGACATTATCTGCGAAACATGCCATCTTATGAAATTACGATGTAATTTAAAGACTCCAAGAAGCGAAATTTCGTTAAAATTTCTCGAATTGAGATTAAAATTTAAAACGATTTTGTCGTTTTCTAAGAATTAAGAAATTAGATTTATAACATCGGCGCTTATGTCGTTGACTTATTGATCGGTTCCAAAAATTTATCTTCGCGAACTCATGTCATCAGTTTTCGGTGCAAAAACCACACGTTGATAGGATCTAAACTTTTTGTCAAATGTTCACAGGGAACTTCTGACGTTCCATCTCCGGAATTAATAAGTGGAAATTAAGGTTACAAATTTATGTAATGAGGTCTTTGTTTCACCTAATATTGATTTTTCCAAGTCTAACAAACAAGGCAACAAATGAAAATTAACTCTGTTTCTCTCGCAGAATTAAATATGAAGTTTGGCAGAAATAATGGTTTTCTTGTATATTTTAACATAAATTTGAATAAAACTGTTGATTATGATATTTCATGCTACAGTAGAGTTACCCGGTTCTGAAATTGACCCAAATTAAAAGCATCAATGCAAAAAATAAATTCGGAGATTAATTTTCCGCACTTTTTTATATTTTGTACATAAATTGTTTTTTGTTATGTAGATACACAAAGACTTATGCGACAACTTGTTGCTCACTAATAAGCATGTCGAGGAAATGAAAAATTGTTAAACTTCTTTGGTCCAGTTTCTTTCTTGGTGTTTGTATGCTAAATGATACATTTTATTTAAAGAATTGCTTCAATGTTCAGTGTTGTTCAGTATTCGAATTTAAACCAGTTGTTTTGCTTTCACTTTCAAACAATAATGGAAACAAATTCGACTACTGAAATATTGTTTATGCTGATGACTGTTCTAGATGTCTACTGAAAAACGAAGATGAAGAGTTCGATGTTTTGAATTTCAGTGTATTCGCTTGTATTCAATATATTGATAGTGATGGGCAAACGCGATGATCAGATACCAAATAACGAGCCCTGAAATGCGGTGTCACTCAAAGCTCGTCTTTTTGGCCGCTATTCGACGTCATATCATTTTTCTCCTCTCACACAAACGCTGTCATTATCCACCCACTTCATATCTTTCATGTAAATAAATGAGAAAACGTCGCAGCTTGTAGATTAGTCAAAATTATAAAGTGGAAGAATATCCTGCTGCAGGCTATAAAAACTTGTAGTGTAGTGTAGGGATTTAAAAAGTTTTTTTGCGCGAAACTTACTAACAAAATAACGTAGAGCAAGTGCGTAGGTAGTGTACATATTGTATAGTATTTGTTTATTTTCTCTAACAGTATGTAGGTGCTTATTTAATTTCTGACGTCAAATAGTTAGCCAACATAGGCTGGTTTTTGATTGACATGTGGGCTCGAGCTGTTTGTACATTGCTTCCTATCTCGATACCTCTATAACGCTTTCGGACTAAAAAACTAACCAAACTGACAACTATTTTCCTTTGATCCCGAAGCAAATCCCAATCCCTCTCTGCTTTTTATAACTAAGAATCGCTTTATTTCGAGGGGCTGTTCGCTTTGGAATTGACATGAAATTACTGTTTTTTTAATCACATAGGATTTTTGAAATTACACATGATTACATGAAAACTATAACAAAGTGACTGTTTCTACATCACTTCAGCTTTATCACTCAATCAGTTTATTTATTTGTTTTCTGTTTTGTTAATGGAGAACCAAAGTAGTGATGTCAAAATTGAAAAAAAAGGCTTTAATGTTGAGATTTGTTTGAACTCATCAAAAGGTTAATCAACTGACAACTATAACTATAATTTCTTATAGTTCATCGTTCGTTAATTCTAAAGGAAAAGAAATGAAGAGTTAGACCTCATATCTAAATTTGATTATACATGATTATACTACATGAAAGCAAGTTTTCTATGAAAATTAGAAAGACTTTTTAAGTATAAAAAAATATAAAAAAAAACTTTCAGAGAGTCTCGCCAATTGTAAGATATCAGATGCCTCAACTATGGCACTTCAAACTCTTCTGAATTTTCAAAAAAAACTAACATTTTTGCGACATAGTGATTCCACTTAACAAAAAATTTGCTTTAAATATTAGTGTATTGACTTTAAATAAACATACAGGATGTTCCATTTTTATTGTAACAAATTTAAACAGGTGATAGAATATTGAATTTTAAGGTAAAAGTTTCCTATGAACATGTATTGAAAAATACTATGTAAGGGAGCTACACTCTCTGAAAGGGGTGCATGTTTTAATGGATTTTGTCCAATATTTCAGAAACCATTTTAGATAAAATTACAAAATTTGGTACAGTTGATTACCTTTATGTTGAAATTTCTAATCAGGGGTATCCTAAATTGGGTGTTTGGGATAAAAAGTAACTATAAGTATTTTGGCTGAAGTTTCTTGTTACTTTCAAAAACAAAAATTCTAAATTCCATAGTTTTTTACAAAAAAGAGGTTTTTTGCGTTTTTTCGATACAACTTACTCTTTTTGAGTAAAATCTTTTAAATATTCATGTTACACTTGTTTTGTTGTTTTTTCCAAAAAAAACAATGGTCAAACTTGGTCGAAAATTAAACTATTTTTGCTTTTTTGAACGTTTTAGCATGTTTTTAAGATACATATTCAAATTTTGAATATTTATAATAATCACGAAATTAAATCGAAAATTATGTAATTTTGTCCAAACCAGTCGAAAAGTCGATAAAAATTGTGCTATTTTTGCTTTTTTAAGCTAATAAACTGTG